AAAGTGGTTCTTGTACTAAGGTTAAATAAGATATTCATCGAAAATCAATTCTTTCCCTATGTTAAAGCTATTTCGCAGAGTTTGATGCTTCCATCGTACAAGCATTCTAATTCTATAGTGGGAACTTATGAGCGAAGCTTCTTGCATTCCATATAAAGCTGTCCGTTGCGCTTTTTTTGCCTCGCTGTTAACGGATTCTCAATCAGCTTTAGTCTAACAAAACCATATAGCCGAACAAAACGAACATGCTGTATTGTAGAAACTTCTACTTTTGAATGATATACCCCAGATCTTCCGATTTCTTCAGCACATTTCTGACTTTGAAAATGGTAGAACTTATCCAACAGCCTAATACTTTCATTCTACATTCTAAAAAGTTTAAATGCAGACGGAGGAGGTGTCAAAAGGTAGTTTGAAATTTCTTCTTTCATTGTCCTATGAATAGAATCTCATTCGAGTTAAACAAGTTTGAATTCATCGGGTTTTGATAGGAACTTTGCAAAGTCTTATTTTTTTCAAACAAAGTTGCTGGTTCTGACAAAGAGATACCTGTAGATTTATGCAAGAAGAACGTTAGGATCAGCCTTTCATTGCTGTAATACACGATGTATCAAACAACATTTTTGCAGTTTTTTTGTCCTAATAGTTCAAAAACGGGAGGATAGCATATTCAGCTCAATTTTCCTTTTAATTTGTGACAAATCCTGAAATTGTGGCCTCTCTATTCAAGCCGCAGGCTTCATATTCGGCAGCAATGTTACCTAGAAAGAGAATCACTGTCAAAGATAGAGATAGGCTTTGCAATAATTTTGTATCGTATGGAAATTTGCTCACAGTCAAATCATAAATGAGCTTACGCATCCGCAAAAAAAATAAGAACGCCAACAGTCTGACTGCTTTCACCATATTAGTCTCAAAGCCTTACATTTTCGCATAATGTGTGCATGCCTAGTCTTTAGGTTTAGAAACGATACGAGTCGAGTGTTAGTAGTATTAAATTGTGATTGTTCATCACGCAAACTAGAAGATGTTAGGTGATGCAAAAGTCGGGATGTCGAGAAACACTGTCAGATGACAAACGATTAGGAGAATTTGCAAACGTGAACATGAACGCATCAAATCAGCGATACATAATTGGTCTATAATAGAAAATTTGGTAATACATAATGGGCTTTCATCTGTTCCTTCGATGGAAGTAATTTTGATGGTTCACATTGATAATTAGACAAAATGCTCATTCTTATGTGATCAAGTATATAGAATAAATAATGAAAATCATTTAATTCGCACCGTGGGCTATATTCTAAAGCCACTTGATTTTTCCATAATGTATTTGTTTGACGTGCCTACTTTGTATTGCATTCAAAATGCTTCCTACCTTGCTTTTGAGTGCGAGTTGTTGGTGTTCTTTCACCAGTTGTCGAGCTTCATCTTTGTTCTCTCCGATTTCATGCAAAGTTAGTAGCCATTTTTCGCCGGGACCTTCAATCCAGTCCAGAAGTCTATAATTCTTATTTTATTTAACTGTTATCCAGTGTCATTATCCATATCTATTTA